CAAGAGAGCGACAAACATAAAAAAGAAGTAGAGGCAAAATGACGATAGTAAGGATGAGGAAAGAAAAAGCAGCCAAAGTCTGGTTATTTCCATAGCTTGATAATCCGTGGAAACTGAAAACTTACATTATTTGTGCCTTTCATCAATGTTTTTCAGTAAAGTCCACACAGAAATATGTTTTTAAATTAATATAAAAGGCCAGAAAAAAAAATTTGAAAAAAATAGCTCCACGGTCAGGAAAATGATAAATTCTTTGATTTGATTATTTTGACGAGCACCTGATTTCACGACACTGCCTCACATTTATTCAGTAGTGCTATCAACACAATTTGGTCATTTCGGTGAAATGTGACCAGTTTTTGTTGGTTTTTTTGTTTGGGTTTGGGTTTTTTTGGAGTTGTTTATGCCCCACTGACTCAAATTAGATCATGTATATATAGGATGGGGATTCAACCAAGGAAGAGAGGGATACAATGTCCTTGCAGAAAAACTGAGATATTCAATAAAAATTCTCCCAAATCAGGACCGAATTCAGGTCTTTTTTCGTGTGACAGCGAAGCACTTAACCACTTCACACGGACACTGGTAAAATGTGTCAACTTTACGTTACCGTAGAAAAATCTCTGGGAAACCGTGGAAAAAACTCAAGGTTTAAAGAGTTAAAATCCAATAAAAGTTTCAACTCACTGATATTCTCCAGCACAGATCCCGCCTCCATCTCCAGAGCCTGCCCAGATTTTATCTCCGTCTCTTTGCCGTTGAGCGAGCAGAAGAGCTGAAGCTGGGAGACACGGCCGCTGGGCTTGAGCCAGACCACCCTCTCCACTGGCTTGACTGTCTTCATGCCCTAAGGAGATGGTGATAAATGACATTTACATAGGGCTCAACCCCGACTAAAGTACACAGGATCTGAGCACTTTTACAATACAATGTACAACAGTTACATAAAATGCGGTATTCAGACCAATAGAAAATCCCTAAAAATATTCATCTTATTAATTTAAAAACAGAAATGACTTCAGCTGACATTTGGATGAATCAAGTCCTTGTTGTTGCAGTAAGTGTATTACTGGGCTTGCGACATAGGTCATATAAATACCGAAGATTAGATGTGCGTTACAAGACAGGTACTCGGGAATTTTTTTCATAACCCGGGTATCAAATTACGCCTGTAATCCAAGCCCTAGTAATTAGTCCCCAGGGCGCCAGCCTTACAGTGAAAATAAATACCTTTGGGTCGGTTTACTTATCTTATGGGTTCAGATGGTTTACCATCATATGATAGCTTACCATCACAAGCCACAGGTCAGTTCTGGGGGAAAAAAAAAAAAGGACTTACCACAATCTCTATCCGGGCGGTCAGCTGCAGCTCCCCGGCCATCTTCTTGACTATCAGGGGTGGACCGGTCAGTGTGGCCGAGCCACTGGCGGAGCAGTCGCACGAGTAGTTGGGGAGACCCCCGCCGCCGGCAAACTGAGGAACACACACAAGATCGTGAATTGACGGATTGTTAATGTTTTACGCTCCCATTGACGCAATTTAGGCCCGTACTGCCCGTAAACTCAGGAACACACACGAGATCGTGAATTGACTGATTGTTCATGTTTTACGCTCACATCGACGCAATTTAGGCCCGTACTGCCTGCAAACTGAGGAACACGCAAGATTGTAAATAGTTGGATTGTTTATTTGGGACACCTGAATAGACAAAGGTTTGGAACAACTAGTGCTCACTGGCAAAATTGAAGGCAAACGAACCAGGCAAGGGTAGGTCCTGACAGAGCAACCTACTTAGGGAACCTAAACAAATGGGTAACGGGGAAAGATCAGAGAAACATAGCTTTTTTAAGAGCATCTGAGCAAAGGAATGAAATGTGAACCATGATCGTCGATGTCTGTCGCAGATCTGGCACTGGATGATCACAGATGATGTTCTACGCCTGATGGATTGTTGATGTTTTACACTCCCAT